ATATTATTCAACTATTACATTACTTTAATAATTATTAAATATTTAGTTATATTAATATTATTAAGCATTATCCAAACATTAATTCAAGTATTAATCATTTTCATCATTGCCTTGCTGCATAAACACCATCCATCCATTCACTTCCCTCATGTTGTCCTGTCTGCATCAGGAGGACGTGGAGCCTGTCTCATGTCCAGCAGTGACTGAGAGACAGGAGACACTTTGGACAGGTCTCCAGTCCATCACAGGYACACAAACATTCTCACTCTTACTGGGAACCATTTAAAGTTATATATTAACCTAACATGCATGTTTTCCATCTGGTTTAAACTTCTACAGCATCTCATCAAGTCCACACAGACTCCAAAGCTCTTCACACTTCACACAGTGATGGTGATAAACTGCCCTGCAGACAAACCAGAACACTTGGAGAAAACCCACATGTGCACACGGAGAACATGTAAACTGCACACAGAAGGGCTGGAAGAGAAATTAAAATGAGTTTTTTTTTAATCAAACGTTGCCAGATGTTGTCCCAAGATGTGGTAAACATGTTGAAAACATGACAGTCCCACCCCGCTGCTTCACAGATGATTGGTTAATAATAAAACAAGAGGAAAATCCAAACCTGCACCTGATCTTCAGAAAACTGAATGTTTTTTTCTTTGTAAACCTGTCAAACATCAGTGCTATTCATCCTGAAGAGACAGGTGTGTCAGAACATTTATCTGAAATACTGATTGTACACTTTGAACTTAGAGCACTACATGTTAAAAACAAGGAGAATTAAACTACGGTCTGTATTAATTACCTTCTAGTATCATGTGATAATCTGATGCTTTGGGTCTTAATTATGTAGAAATACTGTGCCGTATGTGACACCCTACTGAAGCTCTTTATTAAAAGATTGTTTTTACATGGTGTTAAATATCGTTTCTCAAAGAACAGAACTGGGAGCATATGATGAAAAGCAAGAGCATTTCTGAATATTCATTCACCAACACATCATATCACTCTGTAYTTACATTAAAACTTAAAGTCAGCCATTAATCCTCAACTGGACACCAAAATACATTTAAAGAAATATCTTCAGTTTATAATTTATCTGTGCAAAACAGGGAGAAGTCCGGTCCCAGAGCCCATATTCCAGCAGCTTCCTCACACTGTAGGAAAAACAACTTCTTCATCTCGAAGCCTTCTATCTTCCATCAGGTCGGCCGTGCATTTCAGGTGTGTAAGTCAGAAGAACAATCATGACCCACAGGTGCAGGACCACCTAAGGACAAATTTAAAACACAAACAGATGAATGAAAGATTTTACTGACCAATCACCATGTAGTTTTCTGAAATAAACCCTCACCATGTAGAGAATAACACTTAAATAAACCCTCACCATGTAGAGAATAACACTTAAATAAACCCTCACCATGTAGAGAATA